GGTTGACTCAGCCTTCCATCCTTCCGAGGTGGGTGAAATGAGGACCCAGATTGTTGTTGGGGGCAATAATGCTGGCTCTGTAAACTGCTTAGAGAGGGCTGAAAGCCCTATGAAGCGGTATATAAGTCTAACTGCTATTGCTATTGCTATTGCTAATGGCCAAGTTCTATCCTACTTTAGACTAAAAAAAAAAATGGCCAAGTATATTTACATTGCCTTGCCTCTGAGTAATTCCTCAGGCATCACGAACTCTCTGTTCTTACTCAGCACACATTTTCACAGCAGAGAAGAAATTTCTTTTCCCCTCCTGTATCTCATCATTTCCTTCCCAAAATCAACTGCCTTTGAAATCTCCGTGGTTTCTGGTCAAACTGCCATGATTAGCCTCACGTTTTTTAAAAGCACAACAGTACTTTACTTCGTGCAAGTCTCTTTACGTACGAGACTGCTTATTAAATGCTGGAAGCCATTGTGACAAGCAAATTTAAAAACCGCTTTTGCAAAATTAATAGGCCCAATAACGGGCGAGGTGCCACTTAGCACGCACGCGGAGTAATCCCATTCTTTGGGCCAGAATCCCATTGTTTGGGCCTAACACGGTGGTTGGAAAACTGCAATACAATCAAAAAAAATTGTACTGTAGGAACCAAAGCAAGTTTGTCTGCGGCAAAAAAGTGAAGCAGAATCAACTGCTTTGGCAAAGGCAACCTGCCTTTGAAATTCAGAGTGCCCCAAAAGTGCTTTTTCAAAAGGCAACTGGACTTTCGTGGGTTTTTTTTTCCTTGAAGAGGTTTCGCTTCTCAACCAAGAAGCTTCTTCGGTTCTTCAAGAACTGAAGAAGCTTCTTGGATGAGAAGCAAAACCTCTTCAAGGAAAAAAAAAACCCAAGGAAGTCCAGTTGCCTTTTGAAAAAGCATCTTTGGGACAACTATGAGCTGGAGGATTGAGAATCTTCATATAAATGTTGAGTGTTGATTTTTTTTTAATGCAATTTTTAATATGCAAGACGACCGTTGTCTTAGTGCCTAATTCTACTCACAACTTGCTTTAATCAGTATCCCAAACCCTTCTCTAAATGTTTAAGTGCTGTGCCAGCTTGGGGCCACAATGGATATTGTTCAACATATACAGCGAAGACTTCTATCTGGTCTTGTTTTCAGGATAAAAACAATACTGTAAGCAAAACGCTACAGTCCTTGCAAAAGGCATCGTAAAAGCATTCATCCATACAGTTTATACCACGTTCAGCTGGGCCAGTCAACGCTAGTTTTCAAGAATGACTTCCGGAATATCTACTAAGTATATCTCATTCTCTACTTTCCTTGTTTACTCCTTGACTTACAACTACATTAGCAAGTAGTCCTTGTCTCACGAGCTACCATCGGGAACAGAATTTCCACTGCTAAGCAAGGAGGCAAGTCTCTCGCCCAATGTTTATGGCCGTTTTGCCCCACTGTTGTTAAGCGAATCACTGCAGCGTTAAGTAAATCATGCGGCCGTTATGCCAATCCAGCTTCCCCCCATGGATTCTGCTTGTCAGATTTTCCTTGGGGAAAGTTGCACATGTGATCAGACGACCAGGGACATTGCAATCAACTGTAATCACATGGAAGCTGCCAAGCATTTGAATTTTGATCAGGTGATCCCTGCAATGGTCATAAGTGACTTTTTCTCCCAACCGTCACTAAACGAGCAATTGTAAGTTGCAATAAATACAGCTGATACCATAAACCAGATTGGAAGCCAACAGTAACTTATTTCTGGACTGTAATACTTGAGTTTACAGATGAACAGAGTTGGAAGGGACCTTGGAGGTCATCCAGTCCAACCCCCCGGCCAAGCAGACCCTGCACCATTTCTGGCAGTCCAGCCTCTTCTTGAAAGCTTCCAGGGAACTTCAGGTCCACATGGTAGAATTCTGTTCCAAGATTATTTGATTTTTAAAAATGAAAAGTGAAAATTTCCACTTACGGGGAAAAAAAGTCGTCAGCAGCCTGGAATGTTAACTTTCAAAACAAAAATCCCATTTTTTTTTCCATTAATTTGTAAATAAATGATTCTTAGTTCAAGACCTGTAGGAACTAAGTAACATTTGCATCACATTTGCAACTTCTGGCACAGATTATTTCTGAAAAGTCTTTTTTCTTTTTCTTTTTAAACTTCTGTTACCAACCAGCTCTGTCCTTGTTTACATTGTTACAAGAAGGATTTAAGGAAATTTAACTGCTTTTGATCTGATACGGTTTCTTTCGAGGAGGGTTTAGGGAAGGGATGCCTTCAGGAAATCTCAGTGAAAATGCCAAGTCTAGCAGAAACCTCTGAGGAGACATAACAAAAATACAAGGAAGCATCTCCAAGTTGCAATCTTGAATATTTTTTCCCCCTTCCTTCCACCCACTTCCGTGCTTCTGTCATTAATCTCCTTTTGGATACGTTGGGACTGAAGTTCACCATTGCGTGAAATTGTCTGCAACGTGTTAAGTCGGGCTTTTTTCCTCCCTGGCCTGATCCGGAGAGAAACCGCTTTTGTGTATATACAGGCTTTGCGGCGAAGATTGTGTCTGCTTTAATGAGCCCACTGATATGCAACTGTTAAAAGGTAGCTGCCTTGAAAGGCTCAGGCAGAATCCTGAACAAAAAATCACAACTGCTTTTAAAAGCAGCCGACTAAAGCTGGGCTCACACCGGTGCTGAAGCCCTTCTTCTAAAGCATTTTCAAAGTATGTGCCACAGTAATTCATAACCTCACTCCTAATCTGCATTATTTCAACAAGGATAATGCCACTGTACTTGAATATTGCTCCTGCGTTATAGATAACCAATATCAAGGAGATGGTTGTGTTGTTACCATCTCCTTGATCAAGGAATCAAACATGAAAAACAACACACACATGTAGCATGTTCTCATTTATGGATGGGTGATATGTTTATCTCCATTCCCCCCACCCCCCATGAAGAGTCTCACTTAAGGCCTCAGCCACTTTCTACTGCGGGCCCTCCAGCACAGTCTTCCCAGGGGGCTGCACCACAAATTTACCACAACCGAGATTCCAAAATTCCTTACTCATGATAATTATTTCCACCATCCCAACTGGAATTCCAGAACATCTGGAGGACACAACTTTATGCAAGGCTCCACGCAAGTTATCCATTCATGGAGACCTTCTGCTGCTCAATAGATCTGGACCTGAACTTTGAAGCATGGTCCATCTGCCCAGGTCAACATGTCCTGGTCCACGGCATGCCAAAAACTGGGAGACACAAACAAGGGAAGTCCCATCTGTTGGATGCAGGCAGCACGTGAAACCTCACTCCCCTCCAGTCCACGGAAGGACTTCTCAAAAGTTGGAGGTCACTGGCCCAGTAGATCCGTTCATCATCAGGTCCAAAGCTGCTCCCACTGAATTCAAACTCAAACATTTGTTGATTTCCCTATAAAGTACCTGCGGGTTTTAATTGCAAGTTCACAGAGGATTGTGGTAGATCTATTTTTTCCCACCGGTACAGATTTTTATACTACAACTCTTAATACCGAAACGGTGATCGTTTCCCAGCTGTGATCATGCTAAAAAGCCCTTCCGGGCCATCTGCTTTTCAAGGACATTCAAAGCAGCTCCTGCTTTTAGATCAAATTATTTATGCTCCCGTTGAAGATCAAAGGAGGGGAATCGGAAAAGGAATGTTGGGTTTGAAATCCATGGTTGCCCAAACTGGGATGCCTTTTATAAAGCTCTCAGTTTTCATCAATAAATTGCACGTCCTCGTAGTAAATCATCATTCAGCCTCTTTTGCATCTCAAGCCTGTTTCAGCCAGCCAGTTGGCAAAGCCAACCTCTTTTATGGCACCCTTAAGTGGCTTCCTCCACTTTGGGCATCCTCTGGATATAACCCTGTGCCCTATTCAGTGCTTTAAGACAATGCCACCTCTCACAGACATCGGATCCCTTATTTGCATGGCACTAAAAATAAAAAACTTGGCCGATGTTTAAGTCAAACAACTATGCTAAGCTGGGGCAACCGGATTAGATTAAAAACCCAATTCATGTACACGGTGTTAGGCTATCGGGCCAAATTTCCTTATAATGTAGAGTTCTCAGCATCACCAAAACTGTCCACCCTGCATCTGTCAACAGGTNGTTTCACTGACCTGTGGACCAGGAGCACCAGATGGCCCTTGTGGACCAGGGGACCCAGCATCTCCTTTCTGGCCAGATCCACCTTGCTCGCCTTTAGCACCAGGCTGGCCATCAGCACCCTGCATTGGGGAGAAAAGTGGGAGAGGCACAATGATTGGACAACAGGGACAGTAGACAGAAGTGTGACAGCTTGGAATTGTCATGCGATACTCACAGGGGGACCAGCAAACCCAGCGGGGCCAGGGGGTCCGGTTTCTCCACGCTCACCCTGAAACAGAAAGAGCAGTCGGAAATGGGAAGGAGCCAAGGTCACACACGGCAAACCGGCCACAATTGGCCAATTTCTGTAGCCGCAGGGGCAGCTCCGTTTTCTAGAGGCTGGTCCAGGGACAGGATCTCTCCAATTGTTCCACCGACTTCAGGATCTGTAATAAGGCTGCTGTGACCCAACCGATACGCTTCCTACGGCTCAGACATTACACAGCAATTGTTTAGGAACACACTGTTTCCTAAGATATTCTCAGGGATCTTGCAAATTATCTTTTCAGAACAGCCCACAGGGTAGCTCTGCAGAACCGTGTGTTCCTTTTTTTAGACGCTGTTGCTATTCTTTTCCTTTCTACAACTTGGAGAAATTCATAAGTTATCAGCTAGTCTCTAATGGGCTTTTCTACCGGTAGATGCTAATCAAAACAGCCAGAGCCTTCCGGGTTGATCTCTAAGTAGTACAATAGGGGGGAAAGGGAGCCAATTTTCTCTTCACAGGGAAACAATTCCATAAAAGTATATCTACATTTGTTCCTAGGCTACCCGTAGGAGTTTCAATACTTTCCTATTAGGATTTCTACAATTATGTGGGCCAGCCTGAATCTCTCTCTCTCTCTGCCCCCCCCCCCCATTTACCCCAACAAACTTCACTGGCAGGTTTCACAACGACAGCAAACTTACAGGGGCACCCCGAGTACCAGCAGCTCCACTTGGGCCAGGAGGACCTGATTCACCCTGCAGGAACAGAAAAGAGGGGAAACAAAGAGTCTTTGTTTGCTGAAACAGAATATCTTCCGCCATTGCCAAAGGCGGTAGCTCAGAACACAATATAGGATTAAATGGCTAGTAAGATGAATGGTCCTGAGTTCTCTTAATATGACGAGATGGCACATAGCAGGCAGTCCTTGACTTACAACAGCTTGTTTAGTGACTGTTGGAAGTTACAACAGCACTGAGAAAAACTGACTGATGGCTGTTTTTCACACTTACGACCGTTGCAGCATCCCCATGGTTACGTGATTTACATTTTAGATGCTTGAGAGCTGGTTCATATTTATGACTGTCGCAGTGTCCCGGGGGTCACGTGATCCCCTTTTGCGACCTTCTGGCAAGCAAAGTCAATGGGGAAGCCACTTAACAACCGCGGGACTAGTTTAACAACTTCAGGGATTCATGAAAGGAATGTGGCAAGGAAAAGAGGTTAAATGGGGCAAAACTCACTTAACGAATTTCTCACTTAACAACATAAATTCTGGGCTGAATTGCAGTTGTAAGTTGAGGATGACCTGTACTGGATAATTACACTTTTAATATTTTGATAGTTAGTTTATTTAATGGAGCAACTAAACCATTGGGCTCCACAAGGTATTAAGAACAAGAAAACAATCCTTGCTCATGTCATGATTGTATTGCAAACGGTACAGGTATAGGAGGAGGAAACTGGCTGAGATTTGCATACATTGTGGAGCAGAGGTGGGTTGCTGCCAATTTGGCCCAGATCAGCCGAATTGGTAGTAGCAGCGGTAGAGGCTCCATCCACCTGCCCGGACACTTCTGTGCGCAGAAGCATCGCGTGCGCAGGGGAGCAAGCATGGGAGCGTGCCCAAACCAGTGGTAAAAGAATTAGCAACCCATCTCAAACTAACTAAGGATAGAAGATAAATGGATTCCACTGAGCAGGACAAAAAAGAGCCAAATTAAATAGATCATTATCAACGTGTTATTCTTACTTAAGAGTTCTCATTGCTAGAACTTCTGATTCTCTGGTTTCTTCCTAAACCCCAGGAAGTGAGGAGATTCAGATGTACAAGAATTCAGTAAGTTCATCAAGTATTCAGTAAGTTCATCAATGTAAACATGATGGCGTTATCAGTACAGCTCTAAACTTATGAAATCAAATTGATACTTCATCCCCCATGTTTTTCTCATCTCTCTGGATCTAGGTCATAGCTAATGTGATATCCAATGTTGACTGTTCCCTGTGTTTACTGTTTACTGTTCCCTGTATACTTTTTGTCATAAAGAATAGCTTTCAAGGCTCCTCAGAGGCCTAGAAATAGCTATTAAAGCAGTCTAAAAAGACTTGTGGATGGTGCAGTGGATAGAATGCAGTATTGCTGGCTAATTGTGCCGACGGTCAGCAGTTTGATTCTCACTGGCTAAGGGTTGACTCCACGTTCCATCCTTATGAGACCAGTAAAATGAGAAGCCAAATTTCTGGGGGCAATAGGCTGACTCTGTAACTGCTTAGAGAGGGCTGTAAAACACTGTGAAGCTGTATATCAGTCTAAGTATTATTGCTACTCCACAGTCACACCCCAAATTCTCAGTGCCAGATAATAGGAAACATTACTGTTGAAGCAGAACTATTTAGAGAACTTACACGTGGCCTCTAGCTGTCTACCTGCCACAAGACCTAACAGTTGACAGGACCTCTTACCTTCTCTCCACTAGGGCCAGCAGGACCAGTAGGACCAATGGGACCACTCAAGCCCTGACAATGGAGAAAATAAAGAGTTAGATGTGCTGACAGAAAGCAAGATCAAAGTATCCCAACCTTGTGTTCATATCCTCACCTATTAAATTAAAATAGGTCCAAATCAAACTAATGACTTCTTTCATCCATTTCACCTTTTTCCCTTGAACCTGTCCATTTACTTTACAATTCAAAGCCATTCCACACTCGTGAGTTGCACAAAACACAATGTTTGAATTAAGTTACACTGAACTTTCTATAGTACTGTCAGTCTTCTTCTGCCTGATCTAATGCACTAGAAAATAGAATGGTAAGCATTCTTCTTAGCTAGTTATTCCCAGCCTTTTTCTAATTTAATACTGTTAGCATATCAACGGCAGCATGGGGGTTTGGATCTCGGTCTCAGTCCACCATGGTTGCTTCCTGCCTCTGTGTTCTTCCACATCGCGTCATCTAATACGGTTAAGGAATGAACAGAGGCAGTGCAGCTGCAACACCAGCATGGCAGTAAAATACTGAACAAGATTTGGGAAGTAAACCTTGTTTGTGGCCAACTGGTTCAGCATATTGGAAAACATGAAAATTAAAAGGCTTTAATTGAGAGTCCAGGGTGCTGTCCATAAAAGCTCCCATCTCCTGCTGCCATTCCTCCATAAAGGAGATGAGATGCTAACATCACAGCCTATATCCTCCTGGAACAGGGGTTGGCAACCTTAAACACTCTAAGAGCCATTTGGACCCATTTCCCACAGAAAAGAAAACACTGGGAGCCACAAAACCCTTCCTGTGCCTGACTATATCCTGTGAGCCCACAAAACTAACATATGTACTTGAATTAAAGGTTCTGTTTACTTCTGAAACTTTTCTTTTCTTGGGTTTATCCATGATTGGCCTACCAGGGATCGAAAAGCTCAATAAATAGTGTGCTGGTGGGTGTCACACATTGGCAGATGTGATGCATATTTTCATTGTCAGGGAGCTGCAGCAGAAGGATGCCAACCCCTGTCCTGGAGTATTGTCCCAGTTCAATACTTGGGTTCTACTGCCGATATTCCTTCATTTGAATTGAATACAGTGGGCAACGGACCCCTTATGCCTTTGTCCCATAATACACTTGGGGTTACAGTTTAGCAAGCTAAGCACTTATGACTTAGTTCTAACGCTTTAAACCTTAACTAAGCCTTTCTTTTTATTGATCCTTTATTGGGGATTTGGGTCTTCTCTCTATTGGATAAAACAAAGTGCTATCATGACAGATTGTATCCTCTTGCATAGAGGAAACCCAGGACAACTCCGGAGTAAATTATCTAAGGCTGGTTGAATGGTAAGGAGGGTTGACTCTGAAAAGGGCGAGAAGACTTGCTCAGTAAGAATATCTCACTCAGTAAGAGAAGCTTCATCACACACACCAACATACACACCAACACACAGAAACACACATGCACGCAAACACCAGTTTTAACAGTATTAGAATATCTTGCTTAATATTTTAATTAAGCTCACTATTAGACTAATAGGTATTGTAAAGGTTCTCTGGAGCGTGACACTAATATGCCAATAAGCTACATATTCCCCCTCCCCACCAGCCATCCACTTATTTCATTAAATAAAAATTTTGCTGCCTTAAGAGAAAAGAAATTGATTTCTGCTGTGGACATACTCGGCTGCCATCTTTGCCAGGAGCACCTTCTGGGCCTTTCTCACCAGCATCACCCTGTTGGGAAAACACCAAAGAAACAATGATTCTAAGTAGCCCCTATGAACTTGGAACTCTGATCTCTTAGATTGTGATTTTCTGCTGTTGTCTATTGTTTAATATTATGAAACTTTAAGAAAAATGACATTTAGTTTAAAATAACATAAGGTTATTATTTTAAAAACATACAAATTAAACAGCTATATAACTAACAATAGCAATATTTAAGTTTGCCACTCTAAATAAAAATCCATAATTAAAAAACCTAAAGCCTTTTAAAAAAATGAAATAGATTTAAAAAAACATTTCACTAAACTATAGAGGGAATAAAAAAAAATAAAGAGAAAAAAACACAGAAAACTGGGGGGGGGGGTGTTAAAAATAACATTATAAGCAACTAAACAAAACCCAGCACTTAAAAGGAAAAAAAAACAGCAACTCCAACTCTTGAAAATATGTTGCTATGAAATTTTGTGGAGGATCACGGCTACTTACCCTGTCTCCCTTTGGTCCAGGAATACCTCCAGCTCCTCTCTCACCAGGCATTCCCTGCAGGCCTGGGGGGCCTTGGGCTCCAGGAGGCCCAGCAGGGCCAGCTGCACCCTAGGCAAGAAAAAACATTCTAGGTCACAACATGGAACTGCACTAGATAATGGTCAGAGGACAGCCTGATTGATGTAATGGTTAAAACAAGAAGCTAGAACCTGGGCGTTGTAGTCCTGCCTTAAGCATAAAGCCAGCTAGGTTATCCTGGGCCAGTCTATCTGTCAGGCCTGGAAGCCATCTTTTGCATTGGTCCTTCAGGCCTGCCACATTTATGGTGGAAAATTGGGAGAGGGGATTGTAGGAAGCTGGGGAGATATATAGTCATAACAACATTCCTTTCTCTGAGAGTCAAGGCCATTCTGCCCTGCACCTGGAGTGGTGTGACTGGGAGGCATCTCCAGCTGGGACAGTGTTTTGATTGGACCATGTGATGGACATGTGGGTGCGAGGACAGGGGCTTGGACTTTCTTTTGGATGGGGAAAACCTGAAAGCTTTCAGATTCGGGTTTTCCCAGATGTGCCAATATGACATCTCTAATAAAATGGAACTTTGAGGAACTTGAAGCCTCAGATTCTTATTTCCTTGGGGATGTTACTTGGAACCCTGACATTATCTCTCTCAGCCTTAGAAGGGAGGCAATAGCAAACTTGCCAAAAAATTTCAAAGAACTGAAGCGGTCTTCTGGTGCTTTCCAGATGTGATGGATTTCAACATCCAATTGATACCGACCAAAGCATTGTGGAACTTGATTAAACACTTCTAGTGGGTACCAAGCTGGGGAAAGCTCTTCCAGAAGAGTCCAATGCCACTTTTGGTTGGCAGCCACTAGGTGGCAAAACTTATCAGCTTCATTACGGAGGAAGAACATAAGCCAAAGAAGCAGCCTACCTTGGGTCCATCAGTACCAGGGGTTCCGGGAAGCCCTCTAGCACCACCCAAACCTTGGGCACCTGCAGGTCCGCGTTCTCCTGGGAAGCCACGTTCACCCTACGAAGGAGAGATTTTCCTTAGTGCCATTGAGATTCTATACGGATAAGTAGTGAGCCCAGCTGCTGTTTCAGCAGCTCTCTCTACGAGTAAGTTCAGGGGCTCAAATTGAACTGTAGGTGACTTACTCTGGGACCAACAAGACCAGGAGCACCAGCTTCTCCAGGAACACCCTGAAACCAAAACAAAAGAGTTAAAAACAAGAGGAGAGGGAAAGAAGCTACTAACGTACCTTCCTAAAACTTGCACGACTCCCGACTGGCCATTAAGAAATGTGGCAAGCTAAAAAAAACCAACCCAAATCCATAGATCCAGGTGAAGAATAATTCAACTCACATATTCACTTTTAATTTGGATGAACATATTTTCAGCTTTTTCACTTTTAAATATTACTTTTAAGGTCGTATGTCGGTGGGGGAGAGAAACCTCTACAAGGCAAAGTCATAATGAGAATTATATTCTGGAGAAATTGGGTGCATTTCTGATCACCCATGGCCATGGTTGAAACGTTTGATAAATATGATGATTCTCTCTATTGTTACATATAGTTAAGTGGTTCTATGAACACCTGAAAGACAATTATCAGCATTTTGGAGTGATATATTGCTTCCTGCACTGTATACCTACTGAATATCTCAGCAGTGATTCATAATTTCTATTTAGCAGTAGCGGAGGGTTCCCTTGGCCACCTTGAAACATCTAATTTACTTTTCATAGTGAAGATCTGCTGGTTGAATATAAGCAGCTTTTCAGGGGATATTTTTATCCCCTGATAAAGTATCAACATTCTGCTTATTTCTTCTGCTGGTAATGTCATTGTGAGGATGATGTTTATTTCTCTATTATTATTACTCTTCCTCCATCACCACATTCAAGATTGTAAGCATTATCTATCAGTAATGTATCCATAAATCTTAATTTCTGATATAACATCCACAAGCTTTTTCTGATTGCTGCCCGATAAAACCCCACTGCGTCTACATTCAAACTCAGTTAACATCTTCAAACATAAGTTGGATGGTTATTTAGCAGAGATTTTCTAGTAGACTCTGCATTGAGCAGGTGATTGAATGAAATGCTTTCTATAGTCCATTTCAACCTCTATGATATTATCCCTTACAGACACTAATTTAACAGCCTGGGGATATTCAACATGCAAACACAGAATGCTGCCCAGTGCAAACTAATATGCTTCCTGAAGTATATTTTTTCATCAGAAGAAACGATTTCATAAGAAACTCCTCTCCGTGTCACTGCACAATTCTGCTATTCTATAGTTTTGCTTAACTGCTAATGAATAATTTATAATCCATCGGGATCAGGAGGAACCAAGTTACCACCCCACCCACCAAAAAGTTGCTTTTTCAGAAGAATTCTTTTGTTGCACCCAACCACTATCCTTTCAATGATTAGAGACTATTTAATTAGTGCGTTCTGAAAGATGTACAGTACATGTATTATCCTCAAGCTCAATGTAAAATTCAATCTACTTATGCATCTAGAAGCTATTTTGAATCTATAGAGAAGAAGTAGGAAAGACTGCACGCCGGACTGGTAAGTATCTATGTGGTGTGTACTAAATGGGGATTCATATTTATTACTTACTTGGTCACCTGCTTTTCCACTTTCACCTGGAGCGCCTGGGGGTCCTGGAAGTCCCTGAAAGCAAGAGGTTATTTTGATATTAGGAAGTCTCACTTCGTTCTCTTCAAGAAGTAACATCCTGCCTCAGCTAAGTGGATTCAGTACAGGAAAAAGGATTTTTAGATCCAAAGGAACAATAATTAATTTACCATCAAGCGTGAAATAAGTCTAGTACTAGAGTGGACAATAGTAACCCTCTATCTAGATGATGGGACAACTATAGATATATTCCTGTTGTGGCTCTCAAACATCTGCAACAAAACTACATCTGCCTAACTGAGCACCTCTGATTAATACATAACCCCAATTCAGCCCCATTCATTAATTCTCTCTCTTCCAGAGTTTTTTTTCCTGTGCAAACCATGAGGCATATATAAGCCTCTGGGATGTGCCACGAATCCAGGAAAAGAGGTGCTAGACAGACTAAATAAAAATAGTACTTTCCTTGTTGCTTCCCTAGTACCTGATAAAATTATGCGGCAGGAAGTTATTGTCAACAAATGCAACCCTGAAAACATGTATACATCCTTGAACCAGATAAAATTCAATATGATAGACAGATTTCGTGTGCTTTCAGCAGGAATTGGGTAGTCTTTTCCTTCTGCTTGTGTCTATTTATGCTCCCCTGCACAAGCAGATTTATTTGTTAGGACTGGAGGGGAGGGGGGGCGTACTGTCCTCCAGACAGAATAACTATAATACTATTTATTCTAGTAAATAAGAATAGAATTGCTGTACTTACTTGGAATCCAGATGGTCCAGGGGCACCTTGTTCACCTCTCTCTCCAACAGCCCCCTGCAAATATCATCATCATCATCAGAAACAACAACAACAACACTGTAAGCCTAACAAGAAGTAGGGAGATATAACTAATGTGAGCAAAAATCAGAGATTACCTAAAGATTATTTACAGTTATTAAATGAATTCATACGCTCTTCCATAATGGACCACCCACCATCAATGTATCTACTGAGTTATTGGAAATCCCTGAATTTCAATATCATTACATGTTTGTGTAGCTGTTGTGTTGAGCCCTCAGCAAGTACAGTGCCAAGTTCTATTACTCATTACTAATGAATTCTGCTGTGATCATCATCATCTTCTCCCACGGCTTCGTTTCCTCCTTTGCTGCAACATTCACTTTCTATCCATAAGTTAAAGCTCTTCTCATACTTTTCAGCAATGTAGGAAATGAAAGTGTGAGAAAAGAGGGTGATGATCACAGCGAAACCACAAAATTCACAAACTTGAGTACGCAATTGACATTCTACTGCTGAGAGGTCAACACCTAGTGTGATATAGTGTTTGAACTATGAAGACGTGATTAAAATTCATCTGCTTATTGGAGCAACCTGGGCCAGTCTCAGCCTAATTTATCCCACAAGACTTTTGCAAGGATAAAGTGAAGTATGAAGAAAACCAGATGCGACCCTTTGAGATGTTTACAGGAAAAAATGGGTATAAATATAATAAAGACACAAACGTTACTCATACAGAATACTCTCCTTGCAAATGAAAGAGAATGAATGAAAAACTAATTTTGTATCCAACTAATTGAATCCAATGAAGGTCAGTGAGTTTTGCTTAAATAATCTGCTGAATGGTCACTTCTTGATCATAACAAGCCAAAAGGAAATCCTGCTAATCCTCATAAAGGCTCATTCTCCCTAAACCTAGGAAAAGATGTGATTTTGATTTTGCCTCCTTTCAGTAATGTTTGTATCTAGGTCAGTGTTTCTCAACCTTGGCAACTTGAAGATGACTGGACTTCAACTCCCAGAATTCTGGGAGTTGAAGTCCAGACATCTTCAAGTTGCCAAGGTTGAGAAACACTGATCTAGGTGATCTGGAGATGGCATCCTCCAAAGGATAAAAAGAAAGCAAATACTCACAGCAGGTCCTGGTGGTCCAGCTGCTCCTGTCTCACCATCTTTGCCAGGAAGACCCTAAGAGAAACAGGTGCAGACAAAAAGCCTTCATCGATCATGTCAACTCTCCTTATACCCCTTACCTATAAGCAGCTAATAATTCTTGCTCTGGGAGGAAGAGGAGGAGGTGGTGGAGGAGGAGATGGAGGAGGAGAGGGAGGAGGAGAAGGAAAATCACCCTCCTTTGGGTTTTTTTAGTCCTATTTCTGGAACCTCTGTCTTCTGTTCTTTCAATAATTTTCAAAGAGAAAAATGTTCGATCAGACAAATTTGTCAAGATTTGTCAAAATGGTATGAAAATTTGTAACTTTTGGAAAAAATCTAGGATTGCTTGCTCCTTGCTGAGGGTAGCAGGCAATCCAAAGTGTGCAGCTGGCAATTATAAAAGTGTAGCACAAATAAATGCACTTCGCTCTTGTATCTGTTGGCATTAGTTGCTCTGTACATAAGTAAAATGTTCAAGAAAGGAAGGAGACCTGGAGATATGATGTACCTATATGTTGAGGCTTCTAAAGCATGTGCATAATTATTAAATTTCCCCAATACTGCCACTCGGAACAAACAAAATTGCTTTCCAAATAGTTCAAGGTTCTGCATACCTTTCCAGATAATTCTAGCAAACTAATGTTTCATAGTTAGAAATTGGGTTGATGAGCATCCTTGTGAATACATTTGTGGGAAACTTGAAGAACAAAGAACAGTTTTACTTACATGGAGAAAAACACAGAACTGAGTTGTATAACTAGTTTTAACGTGCTTCTGTGCCAGCATTGATTTGTTTGCATAGTTGGTCGTGAGAATTTTTCCCCCAAAGTCTCTCATTGCTGCATCTCAGTACTTACGATCTCAGCTAATATCTGCCTTATGCAGATGTGGAGTAAGAAGGTAAGAAGAGGATGGTCTCTTTTTGGAACGATATGGAGAACTGAGGGTTGTTGTTTTTTAGGTGGGGCTGTGTTATTTAACTTTTTTACAGAAAGTATATAAACAAACAGCAAAAGGCTTTTTAACAGTAGAAGGATGTGGAGTAAACTCACTCGTAATCCAGGAGCACCAGGTAACCCTTTCTCGCCAGCTTTACCGCTTTCACCCTAAATAGAGATGAACAAAATAACTTATAAGCACATTTTACTAAAGATAAAAGATCCTGGAGACCCTCTACGTCTCAAACTCCTATCTTACTCTTTCTCCACTGATATAGTGTGTTATAGGACTACAGTAACTATTTGCCTTCATTTGTGATTACGGAATTTACTGAGAGAAAAGGAAATGAGAAGAAAACAGGAGACATTTTTTTTTTTAATTTATAGGACTTAAACATAGTTGGGAGAAAAAGGGAAAAAATATAAAATCAGGTAAACCACCTGATTATGGTTAAATAATGAGTTCTTATTTCTGGTGATGTTGAATAGGTATCTGGACTGAATAGTGCACTTTTTTTTGGAAATGTCTAATGGGGTAAAGGTTCCCTTCGCACATATGTGCTAGTCATTCCCGACTCTAGGGGCCGGTGCTCATCTCTGTTTCAAAGGTGAAGAGCCAGCGCTGTCCAAAGACGTCTCTGTGGTCATGTGGCCGGCATGACTAAACACCGAAGGTGCATGGAACGCTGTTACCTTCTCACGAAAGGTGGTTCCTATTTTTTTACTTGCATTTTTACGTGCTTTTGAACTGCTAAACTGGCAGACGCTGGGACAAGTAACGGGAGCTCACTCCATTACGTGGCCCTAGGGAATTCAAACCACCAAACTGTCGACCTTTCGACCAACAAGCTCAGTGTCTTAGCCACTGAGCCACCGCGTCCCTAGAAGTAATGTAGGCTATTGTTAATTTTAGAATAAGAGTTGGTTGTATTTCTTATCTACAACTGTATCAAAGAAAGTCAGAAGCCATTCTTTTTTTTTTTTTCCTTTCATTTTTCCACACTTTAATCTGGCCTGATTCTTTCCTTTCTGCTTTCTTTTTTCTTTTCTTGCTTGTTTACTTTTTATTCATGTTTTCAAAATGGAACCAAATCGTATTTTTAAAAAAGGACTACAGTAACTACCCAAATTGGGGAGAGCAGAAAAAGTATGGTAAATAAGGGGAAATGTTGCCTATGTTGGAGAACTCTACAGACCTTTCTGTTAGCTGCCCAAATGTCACATCTGCTCTCTATTTGCCTTCAAAACTGCCTGGGACCTGCTTCTAAGAGTCAAATACAACTCCACTTACATTAGCACCTTTGGGGCCTGGGAAACCCATGACACCAGGCTGACCACGAGCACCTTGAGGACCAGGTGGGCCAGGCCGTCCATCTTCACCCGGAACACCCTAGAGAGAGGGAGAAAGGTATAGGCATCCACTGCTAAAACCAGTAAATGCCAAGCCACTATAGACCTAGTTCAGTAGAAATGCTAACTTGGCCTGGAAAAGATGCTGTTTGCTTTATTAACCTCTTTTAATAGGTCAGTGTAAAATTGGTCTATAATATAATGATAGTCATTCACCCTTCGTACTGTTTGTTGTACAGTGATGGGATCAATTCTCCTATGAAAGTATTCAAAGAGTTATTGTGGTCTAGAGCAGGGGGGGTCCCCAATCTGTGGGACGCAGCCCAGTAGTGGGCCGTGAGGGGTTTGGAACTGGATCAAGGAAATGGCATGTGCATCCTTACTTGAGCGAGCAGCAGCGAGCACGTGTGCTCCATTTGTGTGAGCAGTAGGCCCACATGCACACCATTCGTGGAAATGGAGCTGTGCACGCACATGTGCAGTTGCCGGCCACTTGTGCAAACCATCCCCTCCCTCCCACCAGTCCACAAAGCTGGAAACATTGGGGAACTCTGGTCTAGAGGTAAAAGTATTGGATTAGGATTGCAAAATTGCAAGTTTAAAGCCACTATTATCTAAGGAATTATACTAGATACATTTTCTTAGCAATTCTTTCTTAGCCCAACCTACCCATAAATTTCCTATTGTAGGGATCAAACAAATATGAGATCCCCTATAAGCTATCCTGAGACATGGAAGCAAGACAGAATGCAGATCTCACTAATAAGAATATTAAGAATAGCAGCAATGGATTCATCAAGTATAGAAATACATATTTTCATGTATACTCATATATATATCTCCACAAGAGGAAAAGTACAGAAATTCACTTACAGATGGGCCAACTTTGCCTTGAGCACCAGCATCCCCAGGGCGACCAGTGAGACCCTAGTAAGAAGAGGTTATTAAAAAAAGGAAATTAAGATAGTTTTGGACTTCTTCAAGTGTTGCCAAGAAAATTAATTCTAATGTTAATTTACGCAGTCTCAAGCCTTAGGAACAATAGGTGAAGCAATATGCCCAAGATAACTGACTGAAAGATTGCAGAACTTGTTTTTATTTTATTCTTTCTTTCTCTTTCTTTTTTCTTTCTCTTTCCATCCGTCCATCCATCCATCCATCCATCCATCCATCCATCCATCCATCCATCCATCCATCCATCCATCCATCCATCTATCTAGCCACCCACCTCACTTTCCAAAGCAACTATTGGCATCTTTGTCTAGCTAAATGTGTAGCGTTTTAAGTGACAGATCAAAAGAAATCATAAATAAAAATGATTCTGTTACCGCTGTAAATGCAGGTACAGCTGCAATTGCTACAGTCAAACAGCTCATAACTTTTTTCTGTCCGTT